TTTTACCCTTTTAATTCCTGTAATTTTTTTGGATCGTTCTTTTGGCTGTTGGTATCATGGGATAGTGTATGTTTAATTTGGACATTAGCATGTGAAAAAAAAAAAAAAAAACTCATTAATTATAAAAGAATTTAATAAATATACAAGAATAATGAATAAAAATGTACAAATGCACAACATTCTATTTGAATATTCACAAATGCACAAACACACAAAAGTAACATTACTAAATATAATGCTTATTATATAAATAATTTGGTAAACGTAAAATAATGTAAAGTGAAATGAACACTATTAATGTTTTTAAAACTTGAAATGTACATAAAAAATACTCAATCGTTAGGTTGCACAATAATAATAGTCGAAAGGCACATTACTGTCTGTATGAATGCATATTATTCTTTTTGGTATATTATATATTATTGCATTTCAACAAAAATATTATAAATTAACAATAAATTTTAAAATATTAAATATTTTTCTTAATAATATAGTAAATAATTTATATAATAAAATAATAAAAAAAAGATATTTAAATTATTTATGTTAATTCGATGTACAATTATTTCTATTAAAACTAGATTTCAAATACACATAATTTATTTAGGCGCACTTTATATAGCTGAATGTTACACTTTATAAAACAACACATTGCACCATTTAAAACAAACACATTGCACTTTATCACCTCACTCCACAATGAATATCGACAGCTCCCGCCAAAATATTACGAGATATAAATCTAGAAAACGGGTCTACATAATATTTCAATAATAATCACATCATCTATCCACAAAAAAATACAAGCATGCTAAAGTACCAAAAATTCAGTATTGTACTTTATATATCAATACGTTGCACTTTATACATCAATACGTTGCACCTTATAACACAACATATTGCACCTTATAAGACAACATGTTGCACGTACCAACATTGCCAATTATCAGCTCAATCCAATTATTGATTGATGAGTCGCACTTTTGTGTTGGTGAATGCATTTTAGCATAACAAATGCACTCTGACTGCACAATAATGTTAAACAAATTGCACTTTAACGACTACCAAGTTGCACCGTAATGTTAGAAGAATTTCTCACAAGGACGAAACTGAATGAATTAAAGATCTCCTTATGAAATCTTATAATTCAGCTCGATTATCTATTTTCATTTGCAAAATACCAATTATGTCAGTTCAATATAGACATTATTTTTTTAAATAACCATAATAATCGAACCGACAAACTATATAAAAAAGTAGAAAGACAGTAAATATTAAATATTAATGTTTAAAATACTAATATAATTTTATTATAATTTAAATATTAAATTACTTATATTATTTGTAGTATTTCGGTTACCGATTATTTAAATTCGATTTTAGTTTGGGTTAGAAAAAAAAATATTAAAAAGACATGTGCTGCAAGTGCACCATACTGTTAGATGAATTGCACATTAATGACTATCGAATTACACTTAACTGATTGAACTAATTTTTTCAGTTTGAAATTTTACATTTTGGTTTGATTATCTGTTTTGACTTCTGAAATCACGATTATTTCAGTTCGAGGTTGACATTATTTTTTTTCAAATAGCAAAAAAAAAAATAAAAAAATATCAAACCTACTGAACTACATGAAAAATATTATTATTAGTATTTTTTTTTTTTTGTATTTACATGTATTATAATTACACAACGATATTATACAAATTGCACGTCAATGTCTATCAAATTGTACTAGCCGTCGAAACTGACCGAACTAGAATTTGCGGTTCGATATTTTGTATTTAGATTCAACTATATTTTATTTATTTTTAAATAATATATTTTTAATTCAATTATATATTTCATTCAATTTATAATGTGCAATTATTAATTAGTATTTTACACTTTCAATATCATTATTGTGTAGCTAATATACTTTTCATAAATTATAGATTTGCCCCATGTATTAAATTAATATTTAATGAAAAACCCTAGAATTGCAATTAGGCTCCTTAACTTTATCAAATTCTCTAAATGAAGGCCCCAAATTCCAAAACACCCAACTCCAAAAATCAAAAAATTGAGTCTCGTGCCTTTCAACCAAATCACACTAGTAGCTTTCATCCCAGCGGCGTGCCCCTCCACGACACCCAGCGGACGGTAAGAATGTCTACGCCAAGATTTCGAATTCATCGGCATCTTCTAAAATGTCGTCGTCGGCTGCCTTGGATTCATTTTTTCCTGACGACGCGGCTCGGGAGCAGGAAGCGGGTGAAGTGAACGAGATATGCGTCTCGATCTTGAATTTCGCAGTGGTATCATCAATGCTCGTCAGTGAGAAGAGGTCGCGGCCGGCGCCAGGAGAAAAGGCGGAGAGTACGCCGGACAGGTGATGGCAGACGGTGTCAGAGAAACAGAGAGACGGTTCGAGAGAGAGGCGTAGGACGACGGCAGCGGGCACCAGCAGGCGGTGGCGGGAGGCAACAGGCGGCGGTGGGCGGCAATAGGCGGCGACAGGCTGGAGAGAATTTGTGTATTTTTCAGCCCGATTGTGTTATGTATGAAAGAGAAGGTATGGTGTTGTTTTTGGTGGGACCCACCAAGTGGGTGGGTGAGAAATTACACAACTGCCCTTAATTGATATACATTTGACCACAATATGCTACTTATTTACAATTTTACCAGCATGGCTATGACCAGATTTTTTTAATTTTGATGAATCCAATGGTGTAAGATCATTCTTATTTCTTTCACTATCTTTTATTCTCATATGATCTCTTCTCTCTCTCTCTCTCTCTCTCTCTCTATATATATATATATATATATATATATATATTAGGGTTAATTAAACTTAGCAATCAAGAACCCTTACACAAGAGAAAAGAGGAAAAACGGGCCGATTATGGGCTAGGCGTGCGGGTTTCGATCCTAGGTGCAGTTTCTCGATTCGATACTCACGATATATTCGGGCTCGATTCGATTACACGGTTATTAAAACAAAACCGATATCTAATATATATATATATAATACACTATGATATTTATTAATTTTTTAGACAACTAATATTTATTTAATATTTACAAGCAGTTAAACATTTAGACAATTTAGAAATTAAATATAAATTACTATTAATAATACCAATATAATAATATCCAAAAATAAATCCAATACTCGAACGGGTTAAATCCGAACTACGCGATTAAACCGATCGCCGAACGACAAACGTTTTAAAATAAAACGATTGAGTACTTAAACTCATAATTTAAGCAAGTCTCGACCAATACGATAATATAATCTCATAAATAGAAATTCGATAAATATAATATTACGAGAAATTCTATAAATCGAATGGGGCGCTACAATTACTGTAATTTCTAATTCCTAACACAATAATATCTATTGTCCAATTTATAGATAATCAAGTCTAATTAATTTCTAACTCCTAACACGATAATATATAACATACAATTTATAACATAATTATTTCGAATCTATAACATAATAATTTCTAATTCCTAACGCAATAATATCTAACGTCCAATTTATAACATAATTATTTCGAATCTATAACATAATAATAATAATTTCTAGCTCCTAACACGATAATATCTAACGTACAATTTATAACATAATTATGCCGAATCTATAACAAAATAATTTTTAATAATATTATTTTCAAAAAATAAAAAAATTAAAATTGGCAGCGTCCGACCAGTCCGACCGGTCACGTCCGGCCGCCACCGCCGGACAAGCAATGGGCTGTACGGCCGGCCTGTTCGGACGAGGACCGGTTCGTACGACCCATAAACTAGTACGCACCATAAATTGTTCGACTGGACCGGCCGAACGCCATTTGGGTCGTCTAGTTTCGTCGGTCGGACGCGGCCGGTCCCATACGGGATCGCCGGCCGGACGGCAAAAAAAATTACCTCGTAGCTGGAAAACATTTCGTTCTTTTGAGATTCTAGAAAAAAAATGAAAATAGCAAAATCGTCCAAGAGGGACGGTAAATAGTCATAGGAGGTGGTATATAGTAATTATTATGAATAAGTGGAATTTACCACTAATAATAATCTTATCAGTGCATTATTGTATTAAAATGTGTAATTTTGTATTGAAGTGTGTGCTTGTATAAGAGTGTGTGAAATGTGATAGGCCAATGCATGATTGAAGGCCTTAAAATTGGCCTATAAAAAGGCAAAGAAGCATTGTGATGTACATACGGAAAAGAAGAAAGAAAAATAAGATTAAAATTGGCCGTTGGTTTCGATTTTTCCCCGCATTTTATAACACGTTATCAGCACGAACGCTCTACCCGCTCACAAAGGTAAGGAATATATGGTAAGATGATATTTCTAAGACTTATTTACATATTACTAACTATTAAGATAATAATTCCTAAATATAATTAATATTATTATTTGTGCTTAACACCCACAAAACAGTTTACTCAGTAATGTGGAGCAATATTTTACATGTTTCGTTATATTCACTGAAATATTCACCAAGTTATTCGGATAAATCATTAAGCTAATATGCATGATTAATTAGAGTTTTTATAATTTACCATTAATATGTTATTTTAATTAAAAAATAAAATATAAACCAACGGCTAGTTAACAATTATTTTTGTAACGGCTATTTACCAATATTTATATATAACACTACATTTCATATACATAATCCAAAATCTTAAAATATATTTTCTTTAAATAAGAAGAAAATGTTTGATCTATTACTTATAATTACCATTATATTGTTTATTATATACACTTTAGGAATATTCACGATGTTGTATCATTCTGCTGAATTTATATTTTATGTATTGGGTCTTTGTATAATGTGTTTCTTATTTGCTCTTCTGATCATTTTGAATAATGAATGATTGCATATGTAATTTTTCTCAAATCTAAGCATTGATATTGTATTTTATAGTCATCATGACAAACCTGGTCAAGCTCGAATTTGAGGCCCTTGATATCTCGGGGAAAAAAAAATATTTCTTGGACCTTAGATGCCGAAATTCATTTGGCGGCAAGGGGATTGGGAAAAACAATAATCTCCCCAAATGATTCATCAATACAAGATAGAACTAAAGCAATGATATTTTTGCGACATCATTTGAATGACGGATTGAAAAATGAATATTTAACTGTGAAAGATCCCGCGGATCTTTGGAAAGCCTTGAAAGAAAGGTATGATCATCAGAAAACAGTAATTCTCCCTCGGGCTCGTTACGAATGGATGCACTTACGCTTCCAAGATTTTAAAACTGTAAACGAGTACTATTCAGCAATGTTCTGCATTTTCTCAGTATTGAAATTATGCGGGGAAACCATAACTGATTATGACATGCTAGAAAAAATGTTGTCCACATTCCACGCTTCCAACGTACTTTTGCAGCAACAATACAGAGCAAAAGATTTTGCTAAATATTATGAGTTGGTTTCTTGTTTGTTGCTAGCTGAACAAAATAATGAGTTGTTAATGATAAACCATGAATATAGACCCACGGTTTCTAGTGCGATCCCTGAAATAAATATTGTAATATCTAGGCAGGGAAACAAAAATGAAAACAGCCAAACATATGTGCGTGGATATACCTCGGGACGTCGGCATGGCCGTGGCTGTGGATATGGTCCAGATCGCCGATCTGGCCGAGGACACAGATTTTACCGAGGGTATAACTCGGGTCGAGAATATAATCGTGGACAATGCCGTAACGACGCCCAAAATTATGAAAGGGGGAGAAATTTTCAGCCAAAATTTGAACAGAACAATGTAACAAAAAAATTCACGAAAGATACTGATGAAAAGGCATGTTATCGATGTGGAAGAAAGGGACATTGGACACGAAATTGTCGTGCTCCAAAACACGTTGTTGATAATTATAAAGATTCCCAAAAATCAAAAGATAAGAATATATAAACTAATTTTATGGTTGGGGAATCATCTGAAAACGATGCAACATGTGTGGATGATGACTATGGCATCGATGACAAATTGAAGTTGGATTTTGCCGATGCGGTATTTGAAGACAGAGCTGGAAATGACCAAGAGAATAACTGATGATCATGTTTTTTTTTTTTTTTATGTATTGCTTTCTGAGTTTTATTGTATTTGTGTGTGGACTACTTTTATCTGTATTTCGAATTTGATCAATAATCAATTTTTTTTTCTTTTAGATCATGGATCGGTCTCGAATCCAAAATGGAGATATATGCCTTGCAGATTGTGCCACTACTCATACGATACTCAAGAACAGAAAATATTTCGTTAACTTGAAATTAAATAAAGCAAAAGTAAACACAATATCGGGAAATCCAAAGATAATCGAGGGTTCTGAAAAAGCCATATTTTTTTATGATGGGAGGTACAAAATTTATAGCAAATGATGCGCTATTCTCCCCAAAATTAATAAGAAATTTGTTGAGCTTTAAAGATATACGTATGAACGGATATCACATTGAGACTATGAAGAAAGGGGGAGATGAATATCTTTGCATTACCTCAAATATTGCAGGAAATAAATGTGTTTTGGAGAAATTACCAACTTTACCCTCGGGCTTATGTTATACCTGCATTCATCTTATCGAGACTTATGCTGCAACAAATTCACAGTCGATTGAAATGTTTAAACTTTGGCATGATCGACTTGATCACCCTGGCTGGATAATGATGAGCAGAATTATTGAAAGTTCTGATGGTCATCCATTAAAAAACCAGAGGATATTTCAATCACATGAATTGTCATATGCTTCATGTTCTCAAGGAAAATTGATAGTAAATACATCACATACTAAGGTCGAAAATGAATCACCATTATTTTTAGAAAGGATTCCTGGTGATATATGTGGACCTATTCATCCACCTTGCGGTCCATTCAGATATTTTATGGCGTTGATTGATGCCTCTAGTAGATGGTCTCATGTGAGTTTGTTGTCCACTCGAAATGTGGCATTTGCTAAATTACTTGCTCAACTTATCAAACTAAAAGCTCAATTTCCCGATCATATTATAAAAAAAGTGAGACTTGACGATGTTGGTGAATTTACATCTCAAGCATTTAATGATTATTGTATGGTTGTTGGCATTGATATTGAGCATCATGTGGCACATGTTCACACCCAAAATGGTTTAGCTGAATCATTAATTAAACGGCTGCAACTTATAGCCAGACCATTGATAATAAGAACAAAACTCCCCACTTCTGTATGGGGACATGCTATTCTACATGCAGGAAATCTAATTCAGATTCGACCAAGTGCATATCATAAATACTCGCCATTACAGTTGGCATTTGGTATAGAACCAAATCTTGAACATATAAGAATATTTGGTTGTGCAGTGTATGTACCAATTGCTCCACCCCAACGTACGAAAATGGGGCCTCAAAGAAGGTTGAGAATATATGTTGGATATGAATCTCCATCAATAATCAAATACCTTGAGCCCAAAACAGGTGATGTTTTTACAGCTCGGTTTGATGATTGTCATTTTAATGAATAAATATTTCCCCCTTCAGGTGGGAGTGAAAAATCAATTGAGCGAAACATTGAATGAAATATATCATCATTATCATATCTTGATCCTCCCACCAAACAGAGAGAGCAAGAAGTTCAAAAGATCATACACTTGCAAAATAGTGCAAATCAATTGCCATATGCATTTACTGACGCAAAAAGGGTGACAGAATCACATGTTGCAGCTATAAATGCCCCTGCTCAATAGAAATTCCAAAAGAAGTGGAGAATGAAAATATGCCAAATGAATCGAAGACACCATTAAAACGAGGAAGACCAATTGGGTCTAAAAATAAGAATCCTCGAAAGAAACAAGAAATTGTTGGCCCGAATTTGATGAAGAATCAAGAAAATCACGATGATGAAAAAAATTCGGGTAGTAAAGAAAATATTGAAATCTCCATTAATTACATAAGTAATGGAAAATTTTGGAAGTGAGATGAAAACATGAATATTGATGATGCATTAGCATATATGGTATCATAAGAAATTGACAAGGAAGTTGAGGATCCTGAACCAAAATCTATGATTGAATGTCAGAAAAGTCATGATTGGGACAAGTGGAAAGGTGCTATTCAAGCCGAATTAGATTCACTTAATAAACGAAAGGTTTTTGGACCTATTACCATTATACCAAAAAGCATAAAACCTATTGAATACAGATGGGTTTTTGTCAGAAAAAGAAATGAGAAAAATGAGATCACAATATATAAAGCTCGCCTTGTAGCACATGGATTCTCTCAAAGGCCTGGGATCGATTATGATGAAACATATTCTCCTGTTATGGATGCAATTACTTTCATATACTTGATCAGTTTAGCCATCCATAAAAATCTTGAGATGCGTCTCATGGATGTTGTGACTGCTTACTTATATGGATCGCTAGACGCTGACATTTATATGAAAATTCCAGAAGGAATTACAATACCCGAAGCACTAAGAGTTATGCGATAAAACTGCAAAGATCATTGTATGACTTGAAACAATCCGAGCATATTTGGTTTAATTGTTTGAGTGAACAATTATTAAAACGGGGATACATAAATAATTAAATATGCTCGTGTGTCTTTATAAAAAGATCACAAGATGGAGTTGTGATAATTGCTGTCTAAGTCGATGATCTTAATATTGTTGGGACTACAGATGAAATCCAAGAAGGAATCACTTTACTGAAAGGCGAGTTTGAAATGAAAGATCTCGGACAAACCAGATATTGTCTCGGCATGCAAATAGAACTAGTCTAAAATGGGATATTTGTCCATCAATCTAATTACACTAAAAGAATATTGCAACAATTCAATATGGAGAAGGCTAATCCCCTTAGTACCCCAATGGTCAATCGAACATTAGATGTTGAAAAGGATCCATTTCGACCTTGTGAAGAAAATGAATAAATACTTGGTCCTGAAATACCATATATGAGTGCAATAGGAGTTCTTATGTATCTTGCTAATTGCACCAGACCAGATATATCTTTCGCTACCAACTTATTAGCAAGATATAACTCGACCTACGATGAGCATTGGAATGGAATCAAGCATTTATTCTGTGATCTCCAAGGGATATTCAATTTGGGATTGTTTTAATCAAATGATAAAAAAAAACATAAAATGAACAATTTTGCAGATGCAGGATATCTATCAGACCCCCATAAAGCAAGATCTCAAACTGGCTACGTTTTCACGATTGGTGGAACTGCATTTTCTTGGCTTTTCCAAAAACAAACATTAGTTGCGACGTCTTCAAACCATGCTGAGATCATTGCACTTCATGAAGCAACTAGGGAAAGCATCTGACTCAGAAACATGACTCAACATATTCAACAAGCCAGTTGACTATCGAATAATAATGACCCGACGGTGATATTCGAAGATAATGCAGCATGTGTCGCTCAAACCAAAGAATGATACATTAAGAGTGATAGAGCTAAACATATCCCGTCGAAGTTCTTCTCATATGCTCAAGAGCTTGAAAGAAAAAAACAAATCTCAAAGTTCAATACATTCGATCAAGCGATAATGCAGCAGATTTATTTACGAAGGCGCTTCCGACGACAATATTTCGAAAGCACGTACACAATATTGGAATGAGACATGCTCGGGATTTGCGCAGATGATAACTCGAGGGGGAGTATGTGAGGCTGTACACTTTTTTCTTTATCTCGGTTTTTTTCACAGGGTTTTTCCGGATAAGGTTTTTAACGAGGCAACATAAACGCACATTTAATAGTGGTAATTCCAAGGGGGAGTATTATGAATAAGTGGAATTTACCACTAATAATAATCTTATCAATTGCATTATTGTATTAAAATGTGTAATTTTGTATTGAAGTGTGTGCTTATAGAAGTGTGTGAAATGTGATAGGCTAATGCATGATTGAAGACCATAAAATTGGCTTATAAAAAGGCAAAGAAGCATTGTGATGTGCATACGGAAAAAAAAAAAGAAAGAAAAATAAGATTATAATTTATATCTAGTTTTATATTATGTTCTTTATTTTCCCCACATTTTATAACAGTAATGCCCTATAATTTTGTTTCATTGCATAAATATAGTGAACCGCTAAACACCGCCCCCTTTTCGATATTTACCGCCCCCCAAAATACTTTTTTGCCCTCCAACCATTTCTCTCTCTCTTCTAATCTCTTTCTCTCTCTCGTTTTTTGCTCTTTCGACGTCCGAAAAAATTTCGAAAAAATGTCGGGACCATCTAGACGCGGAGGCAAGGGATTCTTCGTTCGATCGGTACGTTTTTTTTTTTAAATTTCGATCGCAAAAAATTTGTAATTTTTTTTTTTTTTTTTTTTTTTTT